ATACATCCCTTTAGTTCTTCACTTCCTGTCAGCAAGAGATATGATTGTTTGACCAGTGTGTGAGGTTGCCATTTGTCATAGGGTGCGTCTTAATCAGCTCCCTAGGTTGTGAATCAGTACGTGTACTCAACTTCCCCTGTACGGTCCCTGACTCACAACACATTGGGACTCTGATGGTGAGACATGGTGGCTGTGATACATATGTAACCAACCTACATCTCGTCGCTGTCCGATGAAAACCGCGTATTTCCATTTTGCCGATTTTGAGATTTTTTGACGGATAGAATGTCCAGGTTCATTTCCGTATACAGCATGCTTCACATTATCTAAAAGATGAGCAGCTGAGCGTCTATTCATCAAGCCAACGTGCAAACATCGCAAATAAAAGTGAAAGTAAGTCACAGACGCTTAATCATCTTCTCAATCACACAATCATCTTCAAGTAAAGAAACGAAATGATCTTACCAGGGCTGTTGCCACTCTCTCTTATTGATGTCTATTGATGAAATTAGCTGATGATCAATAAAATGCAGCTCATATCCGGCAAAATTACGGTAGGATTGTGTAAATAAAGTGTATTGATTCATTGTCTCTTAGTTTGCAAGAGACATTTAATAAACTGAGCATATTTGATAAACTGAGCGTTGCCTATTCATCTGTCAATATGAAACGCGATTTGGTCATTCTAATTAATGATCGGAAGAACGCGTATCGACCACCGTTACTGTACAATATGCACGTATGTCCATTTAAACTCGATTTTGGGTCAAATGTGGATTATATCATGACACTGGCAAGAATATGGTTACATTTAAAGATGTTGTACCAAGCATGACAACGCTACGTTCAGCTGCTTTTGAACTTGCGTGTTTTTTTCACTTCCTGAAAAGTAACCGTTTTGGACATACGTGAGTTTCATCGGGCAGCGACGTTGCCATGATTTTTGGAATGGCTATCACGATATGTTTAGTCGCATAACATCGGTTAATGGAAACGGCATCATTTCACATAATTTTTTTATCGACATTAAGAAAATATTACAAAAGTTTTTTTTTAATTGAATACTACTATTTATGAACAACAGCAGATCATTTTCTGACATTCATTTTACATGATTGAGACAGCCCTTAAAGGGTAACTAAACACCAAAACAACTTTTTTTAGTTAATGATCTGTAAGAATGGAGCTTCATAAATGCTGTTCATTGATTCGAGTACATTTTTTGACAATTGAGTATAAAGTGTTTTGATTTTCAAATATATGGTGTAAAAACGTCTGAGTGCTGCCCTCTTCAGGTTAAACGGAAAGCTCCTGCAGTAGGGGTACTTGCTGACGTAGCGAACTCTCAGACGCACTCTGTCACACCCTTGGTGCGAGCTCACCACGCCCTTGGCAGCCCCTGGTATAAAAGCATCTGGTTCCGTCAAAACTACTGTAGCGAGTCAGGAGTTGGATTTATGAATATTGAAAACGATCAGGATACTATAGCATATAATAGCATCTAGTTAGCATAGCATTTATATAGTTATTTAGATTATTTTTGAAAACGACCAGGATAGAGTATTGTTGCATCTATTTAGCATAGCATTATATAGATAATTTAGATTATTTTGTGTAGCTAGTAGCATAGTACAGTTAGGATAGCTTTTCAAGTTAGCATAGATTTATCAGTGTTTAGTACAGTGATCAGGATAGTAACGGA